GCCTGGTTCTGGAGCTTGGGGACATGAGGAGCAGACAGCTCTCACTCCTGGGAGTTCCCTCCTCCAGCAGCTGGCAGTCCTGACCGAGATTTCCTCGCTGTGGTTTTCTGGGATAACCTCTGTGCCTCCAGGATAGCTGGATGAGGAGGGGACTCTGCTGTGGGGTTCCCTGGGTGGGAGGGGGTGACCTGGAGGGACCTGCTGGCCTCCAGCTGCCGGTGGATGCTCAGCCAGCTCCCACCCACCCCTGTGCCAGCGCTGCCCAAGGTCTTGGATCAGCGTCCCTGAGCACAGCTCGGCTTCTCCCACGCTGGGGCTGGCTGGGCAAAACCTTTTCTGAGCAACCCCTGGCTTCATTCCCACCTTCCCTGCACCAACCAGGATGGTTTTGTCGCAGCTGGAGCACCCGGAGCAGCCCCGGAGCCTTTCCCAGCCGCCCGGGTCCGGGCTCTCCGAGAGCCTCGGTAATGTCTGGCCCTCGTTTCTTCTCGTTCCGCAGTGTGGGGCTTTGGTTTTCTCAGTGTGTCCATGATTAACGTGGCCTCCCTGCTCGGAGTCCTCATCGTGCCGTGCTCCCAGAAGGCCTTTTTCAGCCGGGTGCTGCTGTTTTTCATCGCGCTCTCCATCGGCACGCTGCTCTCTAACGCGCTCTTCCAGCTCATCCCAGAGGTGCGGTAGAACGTCCCTGCCTCTCTCCCGTCTCTGGGGGCGCCTCCTCTCTGCCTCCACCCCGCCGAATCGATCCGACCCCTCGTCACCCGAGGCTCAGGGCTTGGCTCAAGGGGCTGCACAGGGCTTTTCTCACCCCTCTGAGCACCAGGAAACCCTCAGTGTCCTCCGTGCCACGTCTGAGGAGTGGGAATGTGCTGGGAGAAGCTGTTTTGGGCATGCATGAGTTCATCCATGCTCAGCCACATTTCAGGGAAAAAAATGTGAAATATCCATGAAAATATGATCAAATATCCATATAAAAGCACAGAGAACAGCCTGGCTTCCACTGGAATCAGCCAACTTTTACAAATCCTTTAATTGCCTTTTTTTTTTTCCCCTTACCTGATTTCCCAGCCCAGTGTTCCCACAAGGGTTCTGCCTTCCATGAGGTATCCTGGTGCTCTGATGGGACCGACAGAAATATCACAAATTAATTGTGTTGTAATTGCGCAGTTCTGGAGCTGAATAAATCCACCCGGATTGGAAACCTTTTGAACGTGGTCCAGGTGCCTCCTCAGAGCATGAGCTGGATTTGGCACATCCAACCTTAAAATCCTTAAAATTCCCAGTGGGTTTTTCCCCCTGGCGTTGCCTGTTTGCTGCCGGGCAGCGAGCACCTCATCCGTGCTGGCAGTGGGATGTTTTTCCAAGCTTTTCAGCTCCAGAACTGCAACTTTTATTTGCTGGACATAAAAACCAAGCGCCTCTAATTCCTGATCTGCCAGGAATTGAAATGCCAGAGGTACCCTCCAGCCCTGCCAGCACCCGGAGCGCCGTGGCTGCAGGACGGGGCTGGAGTGTACGAGGTGCTGGGGGGACCTGGCACTCTGTGGCTTGGGAATGGCTCCTGGAGCACAGCTGGGGGCTGGCTGGGACACAGCCTGGCTGCCAGAGCTCAGCTGAGATTCCCAAAGCCGCCGAGCGCCGGGTTCGCCCTGTGGAGGTGGCGCCAGATGAACAACAATCACTAATGAATGTCCTCTTCTCTCCCTCCCTCCCTCCTCTCTCTGTGCTGTCGCTGTGGATTCCTCCCCCTGCCCATAACCCCACGTTGATCTCCTCCCTTCCCATCTCCCATCTCCTGGGGTGGGTTTGGCTCTGCCAGTGTGGGGTTACGGTTTCCTCTGCGTCTCCGTCATCTCCCTGTGCTCGCTGGTGGGAGCCAGCGTGGTGCCCTTCATGAAGAAGACATTTTACAAGCGGCTGCTCCTCTACTTCATAGCTCTGGCGATTGGAACTCTCTACTCCAACGCCCTCTTCCAGCTCATTCCCGAGGTAGGGAGAGGACTGGCGGGTCTGTGCTTTTCTCTCTCTCTCTCTGGGGCTGTTTCTGGCTCTCTCTGGCTGGACAAGGGGCAGGCGGCGTCGGAAGGGAGCCCAGAGCGAGGTATGGAGGGCTGGAAGCCCCTCGGAGCTGGAGTTTGGAAGGGAATGGCTCCAGGGAGATCCCTGGTTTGTTTTGTTGCCTTTTCTGGCTTTTTCTAGCCCTGGAGGTAGGTCCCCGAGTGGTTTTGGCAGGTGCAATGCCTCAGGGAGGGAGTGAGGGAGATTAAAGGTGCACAAAGGTGCGTCCTGAGCTTGTCCCCAAGGCAGCTGCTCCTCAGAGGGAGCTCAGAGCTGTGCCACCCCTCCAGTGTCACCCCAGGGGCAAAGGCAGATGAAGGGCACTGCCAGGGCCTGCTCCTCATCCTCTCCTGGGTCCCCTCCTGCCTGCAGGCGTTTGGATTCAACCCTCAGGAAGATTATTACGTCTCCAAATCCGCTGTGGTGTTCGGGGGCTTCTACCTCTTCTTCTTCACGGAGAAGATCCTGAAGATGCTCCTGAAGCAGAAGGACCAGGTGAGGGGCAGCAGGGGATGGTGGGGTG